GATAACACAGTCAACCGTATGACACATTACAGTTATCTACTGCAAAGTTTCAACTTTTCAGTAACTTACCAGCAGCTGTGGTGCCAGATTTCACTGCAAAATATACACTGCAACAACAATAGGAATTACAATTAGTGGGCATAGATTTACATCTAATGCTAAATGATTATTACCCAGGAAACAAAAATAACCACAAATAATACATAAATAACCAGTTACAGACTATTATTTTGATAAATCTTAAGAAGTTTCTTGCATGATCATACTTGGCCAGGATTCTCAGAAAGCAGGGTTGAGATGGGTGAGAAACGCAGCATGTGTCCATATTACCCAGGATAATCAGTGGTGGAATGAATAACATTAAAATAAACAAACATAATAAAATGCCACTTGCCCGTTTGATCACGAATAATGAAGTCACTGAGTCCAGACTTGACCGAAGGGGTGCTCAACATGGGATAGATCTCACACGGACATGATGTTTGATTACGACTGGACTTAAAGTGTGCACAATGCTTTTCTGTCACGCATTCTGCATGAGGACTGACTCGCATGTTGCCATCAGTGTTTGTTCCCACTTAGCAGACTCCGCATGACCCTCTCTGTAACCAGAAACCAGAAAACCAAAGCAAAGTAGATTGATGCAGCGCTTGACGTGATGACTCCCTCAAATAAAACACAAGGCCTTCTGTTGTTAAACGAGCCCAAAGTACTCAGGAGAAACCGCGAATTCTGTAATCAGAGTTGCCGGTACCATGTTTATAACTGATAAAGTTTGGGTGTGAAAGGTAAAAAGGACCTGTTTCAACACTGAGCCATCATCAGCATTTGTTGTCATCTCTGTCGACTTGTAGCTAAATGTGCAGATCCTCCGTCATCAGACACCTTAGTAACCAAATTATCCACTGGAAATGAACCACCTGGCACTATCTGTGACCATCTAGTTCAAATACCACAATCTAGAAACACCCCAGCATGCCAATGTTACATCTTAGTATACCGTATAGATTCTCTTTTGGTGTTCGTCAACGTGCCTGCAATTGGACTGGTACCTGTCCATGGTGTACCGGCGCCTTCCACCCAATGCTGCTGGGAATAGGCTTCCAGCGCGCCCCCCGTGAACCCGAAGGAATAAGCGTCTTTCGAAGATATTAGGTACAACTTAGTCCTCAAGCAAAGCAGGAACAAGTAAATCACAGGTGAACACAGCTGATCCAATCAATAATCTGGCCACCGTTCTAAGAAAGTAATAATGTATTATCATATATTTAACCACTACAACCACTACATACTGCCTCATATCTAGACAAGTTCAACAATTCTTAAAACCGTGTTCACAGGTAAGGCATAAATGAACTGATTACACCAGAAATCCTTGAGAACACTGCATTATACTGCCTAACAAAGTATGTAAATCTTGCACAGCAATTTCAGACAAATTGAGTGGAATAGCAGGTATTTATGTAAATAAACATTACACACCTAGAAATGCCCGGTAGTCGAATGTAGGAAACGTGGTAAGTCACTGCAAGACGAAAAGATGTGGTTTAAGCCTTAAAATACTGACTTAAGAGGAAGAAAGAACAGATTTTACAAACTTTATCCCCCCTGACATAGCAGTTAACTCACATGTAAAACCACTTGAGAGTTAGTGAACAAATCGCTAGCTCAGTTTGACCTGATTACCTCAAACGGGACTGTCTTAACTGTAGCCATCACCACCCCGCTCGACGTCCCTGCCCTCCGATGTCAAATCAATCAAATTTTTATTTGTATAGCACTTTTTCCACTGTGTCACAAAGCAGCTTCAACAGAAATCCATTTAGGACAAAGTTCAAGATCCAAATCAAATCAATCAAATCGATTTATTGTCACATCACAAGAGTACAGGGACACAGGTTGGTGAAAAACTTTGAGTGCGAGTTCCACAAATTATGCAGAGAACAGTATTTTTACACATAGATAACAAAACTATAGATAGATAGAAGAATAGATAAAACCACTTTAACTAAAATATATTACATATAATCTTACACAATAACTTAAAAATAAGTAATATTGCACCGAGACATATAATATTGCAGCTGGGAATGTAAGGGTGGGTGTAATCAACTATTACTATATATAGTATGGATATTACAATGCTATGTGGATGTGCAAATATCACACTAGGGTGTGGAGGTAAGAAGATGGTACAGTAGTGCAGAGTATTTAGTAAAGTGCAAGGTACAGGAAGTTAAGTGGAAGGCGCAGGGGGAGAGTATTGTCTTTGTATAGGTTTCAAAGTCCAGCTATGCAGTAAAGTGCGGGGTACAGTGGGTGCACGTAACGTGTAATGGAAGGTTGGGCTGGGCAGAGCAGTGATTACTGCTGTTCAATAGCCTGGTTGCATGTGGGAAAGAAGCTGTCTTTTGAGCCGACTGTTCCTGGCTTTTAAGCTTTCTGAGCCTCCAACCGCTCGGCAGCTGAGAGAACGACAGTGACTAGGATGGGGAGGGTCCCTTCATAATCCTTCTGTGATTCCTCAGTCAGCGACTGGTGTATAAATCCAATAGGTTAGGGAGGCTGAACCCCGTTTGATGGCTGTGCTGTCCGCACCACCCTCTGCAGAGATTTCCTCTCACGACAGTACAGTTCCCGTACGCGTTGGTGATGCTTGCTGCCCGTCCAGGATGCTTTCCACAGTGCAGGTGTAGAAAGTCTTAAGGATTCGGGGTTCAGGCCAAAACTTCCTCAGCCTTCTGAGGAAGTGAGGCGCTGTGGGCCTTCTTCACCACCTGTGAGGTGTGGCACTGCCCATTCCAGGTCCTCGCTGATGTGAAACACCGAGAAACTTAAAGCTGCTGACCCTCGCTACCAGTCAGTCCCATTGATGGAAATCGATGGGTGTACTCTCTCCTGCTTCCTGAAGTCCAACGTCCGCTCCTTGGTCTGACTAAACCATTTTTTTTTTTGTTTTAGAGAGAGGTTATTCTCCTGGCCCCAGTTTTCCAGGATTTAACCTCCTCTCTGTAGCCGAATTCATCGCTGTTGGGAGATCATGCCCACAACGGTTGTGTCGTCAGCAAACTTTTAGCTGACGGTTTGGAGCTGTGTCTAGCATGCAGTCAGGGTTCCGGGAGTACAGGAGCGGGCTGACACACACCCTGGTGGGTTCCGATGTTGGAGGGTCAATAGAGAGTGTGATACTTCTCCATCCTTACCACCTGGCCGTCGGTCCGTCAGGAAGTTCAGGATCCTCTGACAGTGTGCTGTTCATACCCAGATCCCCGGATCTTGCAGGTCTGGCCTCGAGGAACGATTGTGTTGAATGCTGAAACTGTAACAATCTACAAACAGCCTTCTCAATAGTGTTCGCTTTCTTTTCCAGTGGGAGAGGGCAGTGTGGCAGGGTCCGGGCGATTGCATCGTCGTGGATCTATTCCGCCTATATGCAATTTGCAGTGGGTCCGGTTGGCCAGGCGTGAGGAACAGATGATATCCCTGACCAGCCTCGTCAAAGCATTGCTTACGATGGAGGTCAGGGCAACATCGCCAGTCCGTTTCAACAGGTATCCTAGCTGCTTTGGAAATGCACAATGGTGCTAGTTTGAAACTAGCTGGCACGACCGGAGAGACAGTGAGGTGTTATAGATGTCTGCAAAAAACTCCTGTATTCCCTGTAGCAGGCTTTAAGCACTCTCCCGGAAATGCCATCTGGTCCTGCTGACTTGCTTGGGTTCACCCTCTTGAAGGCTTTGCACACATCAGCTACGGAGACGGAGGGGGGTTGGGATCATTTGTGGGCGGGGCGGTCGCTCTCCAGTGTGCTGCGGGAATTCCGTCGAGCGAGCGTAGAAGTTATTAAGCTCGTCCGGCGATCAGCGCTGGTACTGGGCAGAGTGCGAGAGGCAGTTTTATAGTCAGAGATTGTATTTAACCCCTGCCATACAGATTCGTGTGTTGGCAGGTGTTGAACTGTGCTTCCACTTTTCATTCTGTACGCACGTTAGCGGCTCTGATGGATTTTACGGAGAGCGTAGTTGGATTGCTTGTACTCCTCCGTATTTCCCGCTCTGAATGCAGCGCTGCGTGCGCTGAGGGCGAAGCGAACCCACAGTTCAGCCAGGCTTCTGATTGGGGTAAACGCGACTTGTCTGCAGGACACTAACGTCATCCACACACTTGCGTATGAAGGCGGTGACTGGTCTGCGTACATCATCCACGCTGCCCGACGAATCCGGAACATTTCCCAGTCCCACATGATCAAAACAATCCTGCGCAGTAGCGTCTGATTGGTCAGACCAGGCGGCGCACCTTCCCTGTATGACCGGCCCCACGTTTCAGAGCTTCTGCCTATAGGTGGGCAGGAGCAGGATGGAGGAGTGATCTGATTTGCCGAAACGGGGTCCGGTGGGAGGTATTTGTAACAGTTCCGGAATGCTGGAGTAAACATGGTCTAAAATCCTGTCTTTCGAGTGAAACATGTTTACGTGCTTGAATAATGTCTGACAGTAGGTTTGCAGGTTATTCCAATTAAGTCCCCCGCAACAATTAAGTGCAGCCTCCGCGCGCGTTCATCTGCTTGTCTGATAAGCCTAGTGTGCTTCCTCCCGATCGCGAGGTCCGAGTCCGCCTGCGGGGGGATGTACACCGCGGCCAGACAGAGTCCCACTATCTCACGGGCAGCCACGCGGCCGCAAAACAAAGAACGATGAGAAAGTTCCAAATCCGGCGAGCAGGAAAGACTCGATGAAATGTACATTCCTCCGATCACACCAAGCGTTATTGATCAGAAAACATACACCTCCTCCTTTGCTTTTCCCGGAGAGGCTGCTTGGTTCTATCGGCGCGGTGCAGAGAGAACCCAGCGGGTTCGATGGCATTATCAGGGACTCATCGATAACGCACGTTTCTGTGAGGCAGATAACGCTAGCAGTCCCGGATCTCTCGCTGGAAGCGACCCGTGCATGAAGCTCACACAACTTGTTTTCCTAAGGACTGCCACGTGAGCATTAAATATGGTGGAGAGACGGCCGATGGGCACGTCGTCTGAGTCTGGACGAGCACGCCGGCTCTCTTTGCTCTTTTTTTTTCCCCTGCGTCTTCAGACGGGTGCGGTGTCCGGCGGTGCCCAGATGAGTGGCGCCTCTTCCAGTGTTAGCAAACAAGGATCGGCGTTATTGAACGCAAGTCCGGTTTCCGGTGAGTGATCATTTCAACATTTCAACATGAAATTGTAATCATCCAGTGATCAAGCCAGGAAAACTCCCTCAAGCTGAGGGAAGAACCTGGGGAAGGAACCAAGGCTCCACATGGGGGGACACTCCTCCTCTGGTCATAAACTACCTACAAAATTATTATACTACTAACATTAATCGTAGTATAGTAGTGTTAGGAAGTCCATGAAACTTCAGTGCAGAGTGGAGTGTGCAGCTTGTTCCAGTCAAGTGGCAGTAGCTGGGCAAGTTGCGGGTGGACTGGGCTTGGGGCAACTGGTATTAAGCGATAGCAGGAGAGCTCGACAGACAATCATCCATCTGTGTCCTTCCAGCAGGTGGGCAGTTGTTTACTCGGAAAAAGGTAGGGAGATGATGCTGTTTTATTCTCCAAACTCTGTGAGAGAACATCAAATCTGCTCTGTGGTGTGTGGCCCAACCAAGCTAACAGCCCCCCCACATCACAGAGCGTAGTATCCAGCTATTTTCCTGCTTCTCTCTGTCACTACAACACCAGAGTCACTCGACGTCGTCCCTTTGTCTCACATTCGCCCATTCATCATTGGTCAGCACAGGTCAAGCCGAGTGAACCGTTCCCGCGACCAGCAGAGATATTACTTAGCCTAAGCTCCGCGCGTACATAGCCTATGCTAGGCCACTAATAGACTAGCTACAACTCTACTAAGTGTAACACACCGGTTTTACATTACACCAATAAATCCGACAACCCCGTCCCACTTACATGCCCAGATTTCTTGAGAGAGCAATCATCTAAATAGAGACTTACCAACATTTTATATGATGGCTAGCTACTTACTGTTAGTAGTGGTTCTTATTTCTGTGTTGACATATGGAAGTTGAGCATTTTACAAATCTATGATTGAGGTTTGAATAATATCCGATTGGGGGGGGGAAAACTAAGTTATTGTTTATTGACGAAGCAGTAATCTACTCACCAAACATGTTTGGAATCCTTCCGAGGTTCTCAGAAGCAGCTCTAGGTGCACTGTTTCCGCCGAGCCTCTGCGGTGAACGTTGTGGTGACGGCTCGGACCTCAATAGGGTTTGATCTGCTCTCCTAATACAGGTGGAAAATCCTGTATTTTTTCACCGACACATTTCACAGAGCCTCTCCAGTTCTCCGTGCCCGGGCCGATTATGATGTGGCCGTGCCACTCTAGCAGCCGAATAGCATAGTCTGTAGCCGATATGTTAGTTTTTTATTTTCTCCTTCCGTTATGTAGCGACCGTTTTAATAGAGGAATCAGATACGCTACTGATTTCACCCACCAACAGCTGCCCCGCCCTAAGTACTTGAGCGCGCATCCGTAAAACGTTTCATTGACGTTAATAGTTCGGGCATCTGCCTGGCAGTGAGACGGCCTGACACGGTAAAGGCTGATGAGTGATTAAATCATATGAACATCTTGGGGGACCAGCTGTTTTTTTATTTGCCTAACTTAGCAGACTTAGATTTTTTTTAGTTTTTGTTAACCACCTAGTATCCATCTTACCACAATCATAGCAACCACTTAAAATACCCTAGCAGACCATCTAAAACAACCTTACACCACCTAATCAACACTGCTACCACAAATGACTGCTAGCTTGCTGCACAGGTATTCGATTGAACTTTCTCCAAGAAAAATGCATTCTTTTCTATTGTTTTTAGTTTTCCATGCATGTAGCACACATTACGTGTCAGATTTACAAGAACATTGCATAAAATGACAGTAAATTAATTATATATATTTAAATATATTTTTTCCCTTGAAATAAACTTATTTAACAACATATACCATAGTTCAACATCTTGTTTTCTGTAGAATGATGGTATGATTTGCTGATAGTGAGGTTTTATATTGTAATGTAACAACAAATGCTGTAATTGAACAAAATTACAGCATTAATTTTAAGGGTAATTACTTGCTTATTACATTATGGTATTTTTCCATGTAATTTTACAAAAAAATTGTATTTTCACAGGTTTGAATTGTGTATTTTCTACACAGTACAGAATAAAAATTAAAGTTATTTACGGTTTCTGATTTGGTAATTCAATGTATCTTTTACAGTGAAATACTGTTTGGATTTTATAGTCTTTTACTGTTGCTATTTGATAGTTTTTACCGTACTTTCTACAAACATTTTTACAGTGTCGGCTGTGTGAGCTGGCAGTGTAAATGAAACTTAGTAACTGAACTCTTTAACTGTGTTTCCAAACTAACGCCCTAACGTTACTGAAATTTCTGAAAAAGTTCTCAGATGTAAATATGTAGAAGATCAGTCACAAAATTGAAAATCTGCCGTATGAACGTGATGCGAGCTGCAAGTGAGAGCACACAGTCCATGATCCTCAAAACTCTGTTTTTCTCAATGTTTTGGTGGAAAAGAACTTTTTATTTATTGTACTCTAAGCTGCTCTTGTAGTAAGTGGAGTGTTAAATTCAGTGAAATATTTGAGCTTTCCTGCAGTCAGAAGCGATGAAACATGGACAGTCATATGTGTCATCACGCAGCACATCTTAGCCTGAGGCCTGCAGTACATGGTACGGAGACATTCTGAAACAGTATCGAAACAAGAAGTAACGGCTGACCATTTAGTGTTCCTAATCATTCATATTTCACTCAGTGGACACAAGTTACATCGGAAATGAGTCAACTTAACCTATAACTGATTTAGTCCGGATGTTTAGTTCATATGAAATTTCTCCACTCGATCAACTTTTACAAGACAAACCCTTAAAAAAATCAGAGCTTCAGTCTAGGAATGACCCAATATCTCTCTATCACTCTCTCTCTGTCTGTGTCTGTGTCTCTCTCTCGCTCTCTCTCTCTCTTGTAGAGTGCGGGTTGAGTTCCTGCTGTAATGCGTCCGGATTCTCTGTTCCTGACCCAGAAGAACCTCAGTTAATCAGAGCGGGTCCTATGAAACCAGACCAAACGCCAAAATACAAACTCGACCTGATGTGTACAGGAAGTCTGCCTCGGTACGGCTCAGCGTCAGCGTACTCTCAGTCTACAGCTTCACCGCTGATGACCAGAGGTGTGTTTGATCAGGCAGGCACTGACGTCATCTCATGTCCTCTAGTAGCTGTGTATCATTGTGAGTTCCAGGTTACTGTTTGGGTTTCTATCAGTGTATGTCACCTCTGTGATCTGTAATCAGAGATGATGGGGACTGATTGTCACTGTTAATCAGGTCCTCTTAATCATAATCTCATGATGATTCAGATGAACTCTGACGTTAACAACTGAGTATGTTTTATGCCCTGGGTGACTCTGTCCTGCTGATTGTCCAGAGTGACAAACTTTACCATTTAAAAAAACCTTTTACAAGCATTTCTATGCTGTTGTGTGAAAATCTTTGTCTGTTTTAGATCCAGATTTATAATATGCTGAAAATCTATATTGTAGTGTATTCAAGAGACGATGTTAATTTTTCCAGATACAACCCATTTCAAAAAAAAAAAGTTGGGATGTTGTGCAAAATGTAATAAAACAAAATGAATGCAATATTGGGCAAATCATTTAACCCATAGATATTTCATTGAAATAGCACAAAAAAAAACAATGACAATTTTTGAAACCGAATTTTTTTGTTTTTTGTGGAAAAATTTGAATTTTGAATTTGACTGCCAACAACATGTTCCAAAAAGCTGGGATGGGGCCAACAAAAGGCTGGAAAGTTGGAGTAATGACTGGAAACAAACAAAAAAACACCTGGCGTTTAACTGGCACAGGCCGATAACAATATCGCGTATAAAAAGAGTCATCTCATAGAGGCGGAGTCTTCAGAAGTAAGATGAGAGGGGTTCACCACTCTGTAAAAGACGGTACAATCAATAGTGCAACATTCAGAATAACGTTCTCACATAAAAAGCCAAGAACTTTTCATCATCTATGGTAGCAAAATAACATTAAAAGACTGGAGGACATCTCTGTATGTACGGTACGAGGCAAAAACCAGTATTTGCTGGCTGTTATCTTTGGGTCCTCAGGCAGCACTGCATTATAAACAACAGATGATTCTGTAGTGGAAAAATCACTGCATGGGCTCAGCAACACTTCTGAAAACGCACTGTCTGAAACAACAGTTTCATCCTGCTCCACAAATGAGAGTTAAAACCTGAAACCAAAGAATAAACTGAGCATAAACATGTCCAGAAACGCCTGCCAAATACCTTTCTCTGGGCTGGGAGCCCATTTAAAATGGACTGAGGGGAGTGGAAAGTGTCCCTGTGGTCTGACGAATCAATACATTTGAAAATTCTTTTGAAATCATGGACACTGTTCCTCTGGCTAAAGACCACTCAGTTTGTTATCAGTGCCACTAATTCAAAAGCCGTATTCTTGATGGTATAAGGGGGGCATTAGACACATGTATGGTGACATGCACGATCTGTGAAGGGAAAAACCCATTAATATGCTGAATTATATATACATTTTTGGCAACATATGCTGCCATCCAGATGACGTCTTTTTGCAGGGAAGCCGCTTGATTATTTCAGGCATACCATGTAAACCCACATTCTAACATGTATTTACACAGCATGGCTCCATATTAAAGAGTCCAGGTGCTAAACTGACCAGCTGTAGTCCAGAACTGTCAACCATTGAACATTTGGTGTGATTATGAAATAAAAAATAAGACAAAGGAACCCTGAACTGTAACTAACACAGTATCTCCTCAGTTTCCCAACGCTTACAGAGTGCTGTAAAAGAGGAGGTGATGAAACCACAGTGGTACACGGCCCCGTCTCACTTTTTTGGAACGTGCTGTTGGCATTAAATTCAAAATGGACATTTTTTCAAAAAACAATTTCGTTTTCAACATTTGATATGTTGTTTATGGTACTATTTTCAATTTAATGTAAGAATTTACATGAGCATCATGGCATTCTATTTTTATTTACATTCTGCAGCATTTCCACTTTTATGGAATGGGGTTGATTTGGATCTCTGGTTTATTTCTCTGGGTTTATTTTTCCCCCCTTGAATGAGGATCTATTATAAAGGCAAGGCTCGTGGTGTCATAACAGAGATCTGGTCGGTTGAAAGGTGTAATCGAGAGAGTGCAGAGTCGTGAGCTTGAGTGTTAGGTCAGCTTGGCTTTCTGTACGAGTGGGATGTTGCTGAATACAGCCGTTAATAATGACCTTGTGCTTAACTGTGCTCTTTAATGCAAGTAAGGAAAGTACACCAGAACTCCTTTTACCATCTCATAAACACTGAGTTTCAACTGCCCTTCATTCTAGCATATAAACCCAGAATAAGCTTCCTCAGTAGTGTAGTATAAGTTACAGTTGATTCCAAAATCTGCTGCACATGTCTCTCCCAAGACCAGAGAGATAACACGTCCTGTTTCTGAAGACTTTACTCTGGATCAATTTTAAGAAACTGCTATTGTCTTGTTAATCTCTTGTATATGGTTTTATAATGTAAAATTCTCAGTCGAAGGATATCAATCCAGGATAATACTGGTAATGGAGGTGTTTCATCTTAAACTGTTTATTCAACAGTCCATGTGTGTGTGTGTGTAGGACATGCCCTGGAAGGGGCGCTCTCTGGGCCGTTGTGCTGTGGTGGGCAGTGGTGGATCTACTCAACAGTGGCTGTGGAAGAGAATCGACAGTGAGCAGATTTTTGTCATCAGGTAAACTCCATTCTTGATGTAAAACCCCTCTCCACTTAAAAATATTCATCAGTAAAAATCCACCATCTGTAAATCTCATCATTATAACAAGACATTGAGTAAAACCCGTCACCAACACTGGGGTATTAATATCCTTACCACAATAAATAAGTGAGTAGGCATGCGCCCGTCCCCCAGGCCCTGATCACGGCCGCGAGAGCCGGCAGAAGACGAAGCCCCGGTGAGGACAGTGGGGAGAGAGAACATGAGTTCACTGTTTCACGTCACATCCCTTCGGCGGTGTTTCAGGATTCATGCGCCATCCTCCGCCAGTCTCATCCTCACTCGGAGTTTGGGCCACTGCCTTTTCTGTAGGCTCTCACGGCCGTTAAAAATAATCTATCAAACTGGGAATACAAAAATAATACTGTAAAGTCCTATTTTTAGATGGTTACTAAAGCACTGTCCACACGGAATTAAATACTGAGAGTCTCTAACTTTTCTGTTTTGAAATGAAATAACTGTTATTATCAGCACCAAACTATGTAATGGATGTGGGAACGGTTCTTATTTCACATAAAATTCTTCTCTAACTTTGTCTATCTTTGTAATGTCCTTTATTTATTTATTACCAATCACGTTTTGATGCTCTGTGCCTCACAGAAATATGGATTAGACAATGAATCACACTTTATTTAAATGAAGCCCCCGAGACATCTACAGCTATGCAACACTAGCCTCGTTTAGCGGCTGGGTATGAGGTAATAGGCAAACCATCCATACTAAGACTTTTAGAGGCGTGAGCCGAAATTTAGGCTTATACATTCTCTCCTTTGAAGTTCTTTTTCTTAATATCATGATCAAGGAACAATAAGAATTCCTTCCCACTAAGTTACAATTTACAGGCCACCAGGCCGAATTCTCAGTTCTTACAGGATTCTGATTTCTATCAAGTTTAATACTTTTTCGAAAAAAAAAAATAGTTGTTGGAGATTTTAATATCCACTTTGATAAACCAAGATGCACTAAGTAATGCATTTCTATCTATTATAGACTCCATAGGTTTCACGCACAAATCAATAAAGGGCCCCCACACTAGCCACACCACACTCTAGACTTAATACTGACCTTTAGTATAACATAGATTAAGCCATTCTCCCCCAGAGCACCGCAGTCTTCAGATCGTTACCTAATGAAATTCACTTTTAGTGGTAATGTGCGTTCATCACCATGTTTATCATGTAAAGCGGACATAACTTCCCTCCACAGCTGTAGCTTTATCATCTCTGTCATCTGTCCCATCTAATCCTACTGAGCTAGATATTATGCCAAGCTCTTAGAGGATCATTTTTTGATCTACTCTAGATAGTGTGGGCTCCATAAAAGTAAAATAGTAAGGCATAAAAACTCGCCCCCTGAGATAATGCCCACACTCGGGCTATAACAGACCGCCAACAAACTTTGAGTGAAAATGGCGACCCTGACTAAGCTAGACTGTTCCGTCCGCTTGGAAGGGATGCTTATAGCATATAGGAGACGAGCACTTACTGCAGCACGCTCAAGCCTCTGCTCAATTCCTCTCTCATTCTCATAGAAAACAATAAGAATTATCCTAGATAATTATTTAGCACAATTTCTAAAATAACCAAAAACAAATCAGTTTAGTGAACCCCATATGCCATCAGCCCTATAGCATCAACAATTTTATGAACTTCTTTAGTGATAAATGGAAAAACATCTGCAAAAAATTCAGAAACACAGTTTAAACTCTACAAACCTGCTGGCTTATAATGCCAGTCTAGATATTGGAAATATTGTAATCCTTGTAGAGGAGGCTAGAATCTTACCTTACTTCACCAAACTTTACTAGTTAAAGTTGTTTCCTCTGCAAATCTTCTACTTGTATGTTAGATCCGATTACCTACAGGGTTTAATCAAAAGAAATTTTGCCAGAAATAACCAAGCCTATCTGTCAATAATAAACTCCTTCTCTTAGCCTTAGGTATATCCAAAACTCTCAAACTAGCAGTATCTAATTATATACTATCAATTATCGACGCCATCCGAATCTCCCCTTTATATCTAAGATCCTGGATCAAAGTTGTAGCAAAACAATTAAGCTCCTATTTGCATAAAATCAATACACGAAAAATTTCAATCTGGTTTTAGCACATCATAGTACAGAGAAACAGTAATAGTGAAATTGTTAACATCTTTATTATTCTCTGACCTAAGGAAATGTGTCTCTGTTAGTCCTCCTTGATCTTAAGTGCAGCATTTAGACATGATCGCCACTCTAGATACTAGATAGTCTAGAAAACCTTGTAGGGAGTAACAGGAACAGCTCTTTCCTGGTTCCGGGTCCTACCTCACTGATCACTATCAGTTTGTAATATAACAGTGAATCATCTGTCCTTAGCAAAAGTAAAGTATGGTGTTCACAAGGCTGCTGTTTTAGGACCTGTATTATTCACATTATATATGCTACCACTGGGCGCCATTTATCGTATACATGGCAACATGTTCCACTGCTTGCTGTGCACGCAGTTTTATATATATATATCAAGTGACCACAGAGGATAAAATTAAACCTGGCAGATTGAAGACTGTATAAAAGACATAAAGGGACTGGATGTCGAGTAAATTTCTCCTTCTAAACTCGGATAAAACAGAGGTTCTACTTCTTGGTCCAAAAGCTGCCAGAAACAAACTGGTCTATTTACATGTAAACGTATAGTTTCCCAGATGCATCAGGTTCATCGTAAAAAGCCTTGTTGTCATTATAGACCTGACGTCCTTTTGCGACACCATATAACTAATATTACTAAACATGCCTTCCTGCATCTCCGCATATTGCTAATTGAGAAATGATTCTGCTCTATGGCTAGGATGCAGAAAAGTTAGTTCATGTCATTATTACTTCAGGCTAATTACTGTAATGGCCCTGCTGGCTGGAGTTCCAAAAGCCTTAACAAGCTTCAGCTGGTCCCAGAACCTGCAGCCCGGAGGTTGCCTTACAAGAACAGCAGAAAGTTCGGACCATATCAGCCAGTTTTTATCAACGTTAACTGGTTACCTAGTTAAATTCGCGTTGATTATAAAATTCGTCTTACTGACCTATAACCTCTAAACGGACTCGTCCCCTCAGTACCTGAGTGAACTTCTCTCTCACTATGAACCATCACGCCTACTTAATCACAAGGTGCTGCTCACTATTATTACCTAGAATTTAAGAAACCTCTCAGGGGGCAAACTGTTGTATGTCTTGAAGCATTTTTCTTTTTCCGAGCCTTCTTATGGCTTTTAAGTATTTGGGCGAATTTTTCTCTCTTTTTTGTTTTTCTTTTCTTTTTGTCTAATACCCACGCTGGACCATGTACCATACTGGTCACACCTCTACAAAGGTGCGACAAGGCTGCTGTTTGCCACGCTTCTGTAGAGGAGTCCACAGGTGTGCCAGTCTGGGCCTTAATCCAGCCTGAGGCTTCTGGGAATGAGTTCCCTGAACTTGTGGTGCCTCTCCACTGTTGCCCTCTGCTGGCAGCCGTGGCGCAGGCGTGCACTTACAGGTCCTACTTTGTTGATCATTTATCATAGGTCAGTTAAGTACTTACTAATTCTTACAAGCTTCAGGACCAGAAACTGGATCCACTTGCACTTTTGAAGTCCCTGTTGATAGCAGCATTTCTGTCATGCCCTAAATGGGACAGAAAGTATTGGGACACTACACGATCACACTACAGTGAGCTTTTATGAAGACCATACCTAAATTCTGCCTGTACTGATAGATAACCTGTGCTGGCTGTTGATTTTTTTTGGGTTAAAGGTCACAGAATTTGATTCCCATTTTGTAGCCATTGTGCTGATCACATTTCTAATTGTGCATCTTAATGCTATGACTCTTTCATTCTAATGTGTCTGAGCAGACATTTACATGGGATCCAGTCAATAACAGTGATGTGGGTGTGCAATGTGATCTGATGAACATCCACTCCGAGCCCAGATTACAGAGAGGTAATTCACTGCCTCATCTACAACACATTTTAAGCTTAGTTTTTGTTTCTGGTAGATGAAGATTAAACTCCACGACAAACTGTTTCTCCTTTGTGTCGTAGGTTTTCGAACTTCATGCGTAACGAAGCCGTTTAGAGAAGGCTGGGCGATTACACCAACACGTCTTCATGATCGCTGCCTTCGCCTACACATTCGCCTAAACAGTCCATTAACCTGCTGCAGGCAAGTGGCCTGAGCGCCACCTGCTGTTTCTTAAGCCACCCCTACCGCGCACACTGTATCGAGTTCTGGAAGGGGGCGTGGCCTGAGGTGGCACAGCGCCTATCAACAGGATTTATGCTAATCACTCAGCGCTGGAAGCTGTGCAGAACGTGCACGTGTACGGATTCTGGCCGTTTAAGCACTGACCTGCACCAGCGGCCGGTGAATTATCCATTACTACGATCAAATACAGCAAACCGTGGCAGATGCACAGCCATGCCCCGAGAATTCCCTGCACTTACTGCATCCACACCGGGGGCCGCTAACCTGCACCTGCAGCCACTGTGCCTGACACCATGGGGGGGGGGGGGCAGCGCTGTGGAGGATAAACTGTCCTCACAAAATTCATTCCACCAAACAGGAAACTCCATCCATCCATCCATCATCTAAACCGCTTATCCTTCTGGGTCGTGGTGGGGTGCTGAGCTATCCAGCTGTCACTGGGCGGAACAGGATCCACCCTGGAAGCTGAGAGCATGTGCAGTGAACCTTGACAGTTTTGTGTGATGTAACAAGGTCCGTGTACCTTCTGTTCATTTGATTTTCACTTCAAAATCCAGTATTGAAAAATGGCAAATGGGTCAATTCTCGTTTTGGTTTCTGTTACTGTCAGTGGAAACAGCTTAATTTATAGTTCCATAGTTGTTTGTATATTTGACGTGCACAGCTGTAAAACAGTGAAATGATATGAGATAGAGACTCCAGTACTGCACTCCTGCCACCTAATGAGGGGGCTTCATGCTCCCCCGATCAGCAGCTGGTGCGCTCAAGTTCACGGTACGAAGTATTCTGTCGGTGCTGTGCCGAACTCCGACTCCTCTCCGCGTGCCCACGTCAGTGTCTTGGTGAAGAAGGAGACTCAGGAGGGGCTGTGATTCTGCCAGATCTGTCACTCACTCATAGTCACGATAAAACATCATCACACTTATTACATTAAAATAAAGACGTGCACTGTCTGCGTGTAGCTTGTTCAGTCAGAGAAATGAAACTAAACCTCCCTCCATCTCTACGTCTGGTTCTGGTTCACTGATGGAGCCCAGCCAATCAGAAATAAGTAATGTGCTCTGTTTACTTAAGTAAAATGTTTTGTTTACTTTTCTAGCTCAGATGGCAGCAAAAGTGAGAGTGAACCTATCGGTTACAGTGTGAAACCAGCTGGGTCAAATTAAAAAGATACAAAATCACAGTAACTGAAACTCTGGTCTGGACTTTAGCAAATGAATAAGGTGTGAAAACAGCCTTAATACAGAATCTTCTCCACCCTAAATTCAGTGTGTACCTGACCCCGCTCTCCCCTGACCCAGTGAACATATTGCCACCGTCGCAACCATAAGTACAACACCCCCTCACATGATTCAGCACCCCTGAAGCACCAGAACATTCCTGGCACCACTCCTGCCCCCACCCGACACACAATAACACACACACACACACACACACACACTGTAGAGTAACACAGCAACACATTAACAACAATAAACTACAACAATCCCTTTTTACGGGGGGCAGCAAAGCCCACTTATCACACCTCTAAAGCAATAACACACTGTAACACACTTCGCCTCTGACGAGTTTTTTTTCTCCTCATTATTGGGCAACGAGACGTTCATTTCTCTTTCATTTTGCCGTTAAATGGTGGGAGTCCTGTATGGAGTCTCTCCTCCATATTGGTTCAGTGTTTTTGTCAAATCTACAAATACAAAATGTCATGCAGCCTCACTAAATGTCAGAACTAAGCCTCATATTCTCAACATTCATGCTCGATATTTCCCATCTTTATAATTTTAACCGCCACCGCCTGATTTCTGAGCTCTCTTCACGTTTATTTCTGGGTAATCAGTAAAATACGACCCCTTATTCCATTGCTGTTAAATTGTTGTCTGATTTTGTGATTAGTTTTGTGAAACTGTAAGTGAATTCTTATTTCTTGATTTTTTTCCGCTGACAATAACAGAACCAAAAACGAGAATTGACGCCTTTTTTTTGTTTTTCAATACTGTATTTTGAAATGAAAACCAAATGAACAGAACAAAAACACGTTACACTCTTTAAAATCCACTGTATCTACTAATCTGATCCCACAAAGCGGATTTTTTTTACTGTCTCGCTGACTTTACACTAGTTTGATCTATTTCTGTCTCAGGACGGTGGATCATTTTTTGTTGTTGTACATCACCATGATAAAATGCTGCATCTCTGACTCCAGGATGGGTTCATTCAGGATTGAGGACCATACGCTCTGCTGACATCAGGGCTGAGCTCTTAACTTTTGACCGCTGTGAGAGGAAGCTGATCAAATCTTCACTCCTTGTTTTGGTCAAGCGTGAATCTGAGAGTATCAGATAACCTGCTCTAAATGTCCCATAAATGCAGTACAAGCTGGTAACAAACACTGAAATCACTCACCAAGTCATCAGAACTGAAGGAACTTTATATTATACTGAGTATTTCCATCATTTGTGACGAATGTTAACTCAGCTACGTTCAGTAAAGCAGCTAAATTAGCTTTGAAAAGTCACTAAGGAAGGTTTCAAAAGGTTTATATTTGAACCCACTTTCATATCACACTGCTGTCTCAGTAAAATCTGATACGTTTTATAGTCTTCGTCTGTACAGTGTCTCGTCCTCTTTGGGATTACATCGTAAAAAGGATGCAAAAGTGTTTAAAATTATTTGTAATAAACTAAATCATTAATGAAAGAATCTCACCATTAATGTAATTTATATAAAGTTTTGCTGGAATTATGAGTGTTTCTGTCAGCAATTCATTCATTCAATTAGACATCCATGACAGTGATCATCTAGCAGATACTGAAATGGCTATTATAAATGTAATCGAATGTAAACTGAACCCATGTGCAGTGATACTGTTACATCACACAGAAACACAGTTACTGCAGTGAGAACTCGCCTGAGGACTAACAGTATCTGGACTAACAGAGGAAGCTGTTAAAGTAGATTAACTGCGGCTGAGTTTGTTTGGTTTACTGAAGCTGGAACCCTGTTTATGTGGAACCTGCTTCACGAGTCCTGATCAGTTTTACACATTTTTCAAATACATAAACAGTCCAGTTCCAAATATGTATGTTCGCTTTCTGTATTTTCAGTGTTGAAAAACAGTTGCAAATAATTTCCAACTGAATTTATCTTCAAAATTCATCTTTAGTAAATAAAGTTATTAATCTACTGTCAATAAAACACACACACTGTCTGCACTGCACTCTGTCTCTCCAACACCTGCACTGACTCACCTGCAAAGGCTTTAAGATGAGCTGATTAGATTGTACAATATGAGCACAGTGTGCATTTATAACTGATCATAATCAAGATAAATCAGAGAATCCTGAGTTTGATTAACTGCCGTCTCTAACTGGGTTCCTCCCACCATCATATTATTAATGAATTTGCTTCATTCATGTTGAAAACAGGCCTCAATCTTACAATAAATAATTAATTAAATCAGTCTTGTTCATTTACACTACATTAATGTATTAGTAACATATATAAGCAAAACAAATATTACAAGCGCTAATCTTTAACAAAGCAATAATTACTTGAGGTCTGAAGGTTTTCTAATAAATTTTATAGATTTAGTAGATTTTTTAGATTTTGGCAGAAAACCTACTCAAAAAACTAAATCACATCAGAATATATTTACAATGTATAAAATGAAACTCAGTCTAATAATAAAGCTAAACATGTTGTAGCTCTATCAGACTCACAAGCCCAGACTTGCTGAGAATGGTGTCCGTTCTTCTCATGATCTATGAACAGAGGGTCTTTCAGCTGTTTCAGGAAGCGTCTTCTGAAAGCCTGGCTGAGAGTTTGATGGTGAATGTTGCTGTGAAACGCTCATCAAATTCACTCACATTTAATGAAGTACGTTTGTCTTTAGTCACTTCCTCTGTAGTGAAGGCAATGGAGACTCTCAACACTGAGAGAACTCACCTCTCTTCACCTGGTGCTGTGGGTGGGCTTCACTGGGTGCCCACCCAGCCTGATAGCTCTATTATTTGAATTATTCACGAAAAACCACTTTCTTTAAGGCAAAACTCAGTGTTGTGCATCTGACAAGAGTTTAATATTTCTTGGTTCTGGCCAATAATGAAAAGAAGCAGCAGAGGCTGTGATTCTGATTGGATAATTCACTCAGGACTGAATCCAGTGCATGATGATGCAGAGAGATGTTGCACTTCTGCCTGTTTTTAAACCTGTGCCTGAGTAGAAGAGTTCAAATACAATCGACATCTTCAAGACCAGCTCACTTGTGTCTGCCAACTTTACTAACACCTGAAAACTGTTCACATTAGTCTTCTACTCAGCCACCAGCACATTTTACCATTAATCCCATGGCAAACGACCATGAAGTGCTCAAAAGAGCACTGTTTTTATTTTATTAGAGCAGAGTGTGTAAAATATTAAACCAGTAAAGTATTCAGTAGGAGCACTGGATCAGTTCA